TTTAGTCTCAAGCCTAGAATCATCATTCTATAACTATAATAATATATTTGTCATCCTAAATAATCATATAAATATTAATAAATCAATATATATTTTTAAATTTAACCAAAAATCTATCCATAAAAATCTAGAGTTTAATTCAAAAGCTTCAAATTTCAATTTCATCAATAAAATAATATTATAGAATATTTATTATATTACCAACAATTTTAACAATTATATTTATTCATAAAATATTTATTTCTCTTTCAAATCCTAAATTTTTCATCATTTCAAAACTAAAAACTGAAAAAAAAATATTTAGAATAATTATATAATTTTAGAATATTTAAAATTTCATCCAAAATATTTTATTAAAAGCTTTGAATCAACTCTCTCTCACCGTCTCGCACAAGAGCTCTGCTTTCCGTTCTTCTTTGTTGCACACGAAAAGACGAGGAAGGGAAGAGAAAATGAAAAAACGAAAGAGAAGAGGAGGTGTGAAATGAAGTGACGTGAGTCTACTGTCACGGGGCTAGTCTTTCGACCTGTGCGGCACTTAGACAATCTTCACTAGAAGTTGTTAAGTAAGCCTAACTCGTATGAAAGGAGGATACTTGGCTAAGTAGAGGAAAGGGAAAGCTTGAAGGCAAAGGAGAGTAGAAAGAGTTTGGAGAATGTAAGAGTTCTATTGCTTTGAGAACTCAAGGATGATTTATAAATGAGGAGGGGTGAGGTATTTATAGGCCTCCCCTTGGATCTAGAATGTTCCCACCTCCTTAATGGACGGTGGAGATTAAATCTATCCTACGGTTACAATTGAATCTCTAGAATTCTCTTAACAAATATCTAGATATTTAAATGGAAGAATCTAGAGACAATATTAAAATATTAAGGCTAGAGTTGTGTAAGCTTCTCTAGAATGTTCTTGCACTCTCTAGCACTCTTAAGGTTAGCTGGGAGCCTTCTGGAGGGTTCTAGAGCATTTCGGACCTTGTGAAAAATGATAAAATGTGACATTTTCCCCCACTTGATTTTGCGACGCCCTCGTCACGCATTCCTCCTTGTAACGTTGGATTTAGTCAGTGAACTGCCACAGGAGGTCTTCACGTTCCTAACTAGCTTCAAAGTCAGGTTGACCCTTCCACTTGATTAAGTACTCAGTGTAGTTGGGAACTTCTCTCTTTCTGATCACCCTGTTGGCAAGGATTTCTTCTATCTCCTTGTCGTACTCGGTGACGACCGCTGTCGGTGCTCTCTTAGAGATACCTCGAGATGGATCTTCTTCATCTTTATAGTATTTCTTCAAGAGACTAACATAGACGACAAGATGAATCTTAAGCTTGGGAGGGAGTTATACCTGGTACGCAACCTTTCCCACACGTTTGATGATAGGGAAAGGGCCTTCATATCTCCTGACCAAGCCTTTGTGTACTTTGCGTAGTGACTTGAATTGATTCGGCAATAACTTAACCATAACCAAGTTACCTACTTGAAACTCAATGGGGTGCCGCTTCTTGTCTACCCACTTCTTCATTTTTCGGGAAGCTTTATCCAGGCATGCACGAGTAATGTCGGCTTCTTCTTGCCATTCCTTAGTAAACTTATAAGCAGCTGGATTGTCTCCCTTGTATGGTGTGGCAAGTGCGTTGGAGGTTAGAGGTTGTTGTTCGGTAAATATCTCAAAAGGGCTCTTACCTGTTGACTCACTTCGCTGCAAGTTGTAAGAGAATTGGGCCACATCGAGCAATTTAGCCCAATCTCGTTGATGAGCGCTCACATAGTGCCGAAGGTAGAGCTCTAACAAAGCATTGATTTACTCTGTTTGTCCCTTGCTCTGAGGATGAAAGCTTGTTAAGAAATTCAAATCTGTCCCCAAGAGCTTGAAAAGTTCTCTCCAAAATTTCTTGGTGAATCGGGGATCTCGATCACTGACAATGTTGCGAGGGATCTCCCATAGCTTCACGACATGCTTGAAAAACAAGCGTGCCGCTTCATCAACCTTGCAATCTACTGGGGCTGGTATAAAGGTGGCATATTTGCTGAATCTATCAACTACCACTATGATACTCCCACATCCTTCAGACTTAGAGAGAGCAATTATGAAGTCCATGGAGACACTCTCCTATGGTCTCTCAGCCACTGGTAAAGGTTCGAGTAGACCAACAGGATGTTGTTATTCAACCTTATCTTGCTGGCACACTAATCAAGTTCTCACATATGCCTCGACATCGTCTTGCATATGTGGCCAATAGAAATGATTTTGTACGAGAGCAAGTCTTCTGGTCATACCTGGATGTCCAGCCCACATGGAATCATGACACTCTTTTAGGACATCTCTTCGAAGGTTGCCCCATTTCGGCACATAGACTCAGTTCTCAATGGTGTAGAGTATTCCATCATTCACCCAAAATCTCTGAGTCTTGCCTTCGGTAGCAAGTTTTACTAAGTCGCTTGCGGTTGAGTCCTGAGACATACCTTCCTTGATTCGTTCAAGGAAGTCATTCTGAGGCGTGCTTGCTGAGAGAGTGGCTAACTCGACTTTCCTGCTTAAGGCATCTGCCACCATGTTCGCTTTGCCTGGCTTGTACTCCAATCGATAATCAAACTCAGCAAGAAAATCTTACCAGCGAGCTTGCTTCGGGCTGAGCTTCTTTTGTGTTTGAAAGTAGCTCATAGTAACATTGTCTGTCATAATAGTAAACTTGCTCCCAAGTAAGTAATGACGCCAGGTTCATAGACAATGGATGATGGTAGACATCTCTTTCTATTGCACCGTGTAGCGCCTCTCTGTGTCATTGAGCTTGCGACTCTCGTATGCAATAGGGTGTCTTTCTTGCATTAACACGCCCCCTATTGCAAAGTCTGAGGCATCGGTGTGTACCTCAAACGGCTTGGAGTAGTTGGGCAAGGACATAATAGGCTCTTGCGCGAACATCTGCTTCAAGTTTTCAAAAGCATCCTGGCAATCCAGTGACTATTGCCAAGATCTATTCTTCTTGAGTAAATCTGTTAATGGAGCAGTGGTAGTTGAATACCCCTTGATGAACCACCGATAGTAGTTCACCAGACCAAGAAATGATCTTAACTCTGGGACCTTGGTAGGAGGCTGCCATTCTTGAATGGCTCGAACCTTAGTTGGGTCCATCATGAGCTTCCCATCCTTGATCTTATGCCCCAAGAAGTCCACCTCTTGTTTGGCAAAAGAACATTTTTCTAGCTTAATGTAAAGTTCATGATCAGAGAGTACCTGGAAGACTTTCTTCAAGTGTTGAGCATGCTCTTCAAGAGTGTTACTATATATCACGATGTCATCCAAGTATACCACCACGAACTGGTCCAAGTAAGGGTGGAACAACTTGTTCATGAGCGTACAGAACGTTGCCGGGGCATTCGTCAGTCCAAAGGGCATGACAAGAACCTCGAATGCTCCATATCTCGTCACGCAGGTTGTCTTCGGCTCATCACCTACGGCGATGCATACTTGATAGTACCCAGATCGAAGATCAAGCTTAGAAAAGTACCTGGCTTTTCCAAGCTGATCGAACAAGTCAGCAATCAAAGGTATTGGGTACTTATTCTTGATAGTAATCTTGTTTAAGGCCCTGTAGTCGATACACATCCGTAGTGAACCATCCTTCTTCTTTTAGAAGAGGACTGGAGCACCATATGGGGCCTTAGATGGTTGGATGTATTCGGAATCAAGGAGATCTTGCAGTTGTCTCCTTAACTCAGCAAGTTCTGGAGGTGACATCAGTAAGGTGCTAAGGCAGGTGGTTTGGTACCAGGCTCCAACTCGATCTGATGGTCTACCTCTCTTTTAGGGGGTAGTTTCTTAGGCAACTCGTCAAGCATGACGTGCTTGTGCTCCCGTAGCACCTCTTGGATGCAAGAATATTGAGGCTAGAGTTGTGTAAGCTTCTCTAGAATGTTCTTGCACTCTCTAGCACTCTTAAGGTTAGCTGAGAGCTTTCTGGAGGGTTCTGGAGCATTTCGAACCTTGTGAAAAATGACGAAACGTGACACCACACTCTCTTCATTTTATTTTTTTTTCGCATCTTTTTTTTTAACACACATTAAACACACGCCCCAACAGTAATAATCTGCCCCCCTTCTTATTTTTTTTTATTTTATATTCCTTTTCCTTCTTCTTCTTTCTTTCTTTCTTTTTTAATAATATTATTAATTTTTTATTTTCTAAAAAAATTATAACTTAAGATTTTATCTTAAATTAAATTTAATAATAATTTAATTAAAATTATTTATTTTAAATATTCTTCCAAAATTATTTATTTATCCTTAATTATTTAATTAATCTTGAGTTAAATTTTAAAATTTTACAACTGTTCATATTTTTTAATTTTCAAAAAATTGATTCATGTTTTCGAAAACAAGAATTTTTTTTTTCAAAAAAAAAAATCAGGGGTACATTGTGATGATGGTACGATGTCCGTTGTGTTTGTCATTGCCTCATTGGGCCAGTAATAATGTACCGTATATTTAAATGAGATTATAGTGCCCCAGAAAAGCAGACAACATTGTGGCACCCCATTACGATCAGAATATTATGGTACTTGGTACATAATGATCTACCAAAATCAATCAACAATTAACAAATATATTATAAATGAAGATATAATTTAATTACAAGAACCCAAGAAGGATTATAGATTATTCACCCTCCTTTGATCAAATGAAGCACCGACACATAAACACAGTTACAGAGGACATTGTAGATCACCCACAGCTTCTATTCTCTAATCAAACCTAGCTACCTTAAGAAACTCAAAATAATCCCTACATTATGCCCCAAAAACCAAAAATTTGATTTATTTGAGCCTTAGCATCAAGAAAGGAACAGCATCGTCACAAAGGGCGAGGCTACAGTTAAGAAAATGTGCAAAACGTTGTCAAGAGCACTTATTTTGATGCTGCTCAACCTTAATTTGTTAATCCCTGCATTGCTGGACACAGTAGAATTCGACACTTGCTTTGTCTTGTTGCTTACTTTCTTACTGCATCAAATACAATAAACAAAAGCACTTATAAAAAATTCTATATACACATGCATGTGTATTAATAATTATTGTATAGTTTCGGCTTCATTGCAACTCAATTCCTCAAATTCTGTCATTTAATGGATTCGTCCTTACACTTCCAAAAAAATCATCTAGTCCTTAGTTGTAACTTGTAACTCAGCCATGAAGCGTATGAACATTAAATAACTAAAACATGAAGGACACAATTGCAACAAGTTAAGCTTTACGAACTCAGGACAAATGAATACTTTTCTCTAAAAATTTTCTGTAAATCCCTGCAACTATTTTCTAAAAATGGACCTGGCCTACCCAACCCAACAAATTTTTTTGGAAGAATTACAATCAGATTCCAAATAAAGAAATTAATTATTTCTTCAGTTCATTTACAAGTCAAACTCCTATACTTATATCTTAAACTTCAGTACTAACAAGCGAACAAGACTTGTAAGTAATTAGTTTCCTTATCTGGGACCTATATGTAATTCTCCCATTTGGCGGAGTCAAACCGAACCAAATGCAGTTGGGTTGAGCCGAGCTCACCTGACCGCTAGACTCATGTACAGTGTACACGCCTACACGGTACACCCCTGACCCCTACTTGTTGCCATCCCTACTTCACATGACGTTGAAAATATTAAAATAAATAAATAAATCAAGGTCTCAATTATAGGAGCAAGGTAACTAAAAAACAAGAGTGCAATAAGAAAGAGGAGTGCTCCTTACCTTCCAGGAAATATACAACTCCCGTGACCTGCAATGGCAACCCCACAAGAAAGAAAAAAAGAAATTAAAACTCGCGTTTAACTTGGACAACACAACAAAGAGAAACCGCACAGAAGTGTGGAGCCACATCAATCAGTGTTTTGGTGCAAGAAATGGACCTTTCAGAGAAATTGATGTTAGAACGCTACACTACCATATAAAGGGAATCTAGAAACACGGCTTATAAATTGTTTCAAGTGTCAGGTGCTTCTCTGGGAGACACAAACCAGTAACCAGCTACAAGTCAAGGATTGCTTCATATGGTTCCCTAATATGTCAAGGACAATGAAATCACCAGACCCCTCTGTTTTCCAATTTTTCACATCAAAGGCTAAAGTGTATATCTGCAATGTGGGCGCCACACACAATGTTTTCACAGGATTCAATACTCAAGCCTCACTTCCACTTCCTGGTTCCTTTTCCTTCTTGAACTCTCATACTCTACCACAATATTAATACCATAACTAGGGCCATACAAGGAGTTTTCAAATGAAAAATAATTGCAAATGTTATGGTCTGACCGAAGCAAAATATTTTCAAAACGAATTGCGATTTCTTTTTAAAAATGCATTAAGCATCTTAAGAGAAACCATAACCCATTAGAGTGGAGTTTGTACAGAATCTACAACCTCTCTTTCCAGTCACTTCCTATTTTTCTGCAGTATTTCTCTCCAAATATACATTAGGTATTGACAAGCTAAATGCAAAAAATCTAGGGATTTGGATCCGATGAGTAATATAAGTCTACTCATTCATTTGGTATCTCATGTGGTACGATAACAATGGTTTGATTTAATCAAACGGCTATAATAAATTTTGTCAAATAACATTCAAAAGGTACCAAATCTCAAATTTTTAGAGAGGATGACATATATGTAAGGAGTCTTTTAATCATGAGGATTGTTTTAAATTTTTGGAGAGAAATGTATTTTGATACTTTTCAAGTATTGATGAAATCTAATAAGCTATAATTGAGACACTCAAATGAGGGGTCTTAGAATCCAGATATCTGAAATAACTGCATATGCATCTAAGAATATCGCTTCTATTTTTCTTAATACTCTGTCCCAGAAAAACCATAAGCTGACGCAATTAATCAAGGTTTTGAAAGATGTTGCTGTTCTTCCCTTAAGATTTCCCAGGTAGCAGTTAGCCATAGCGAATTCAATCGCTAGATCAAGACTCTATCTTCACCCAAAAAAATAAAAATATAAATGTAGTAACACGTACTTGGATCAGTGGTGGTGATAATAGCCACTCCTTTGAAGTCACAAGAACCAGGAGCCTTCCCTTCTTTCTGATAATAGCTATCAAACGCATAAGAAGCATGGTTCTTCACATTATTAGGTTGATAGCAACTCTCTCCAGGTTGAATCTCTGAGCAATTCGCCTTCCCTGGTCCACAAGCCCAATCCAATGCAGCCTGCAATGTCTTCGTATCAATTCCATCCATGGCAATACAGTATGTCTGATTCGTTGTATCATTCGCCAAAAAGGTCCCAATTCCAGACACATGAAGCAGATAAGCCGGCGTAGTGTTTCCGTAAAACAGGCCCCAGTTTGCCTCTGACACCGGCGGAGCCCTCAAGTCCTCGTTGAACAACTCATATATGTAAACGCTCGAAGTGGCTTCTGGGTGCAAAGGGGTTCCACTGCGATCATAAATATGCTTTATCAAGTTTGAATTGTAGGTGTCTGCATTGTCTTTGGTAGCATAAGGCTCTTTAGAGTCACCCTTTGATGGCCACCCTGTTTCCGTGACCAGAACCAAAACATCGGTAACATTAAGGTTTTTCATGGAAAAATAGGCAGCATCAATCATAGCATCGAGCACATTCTCATAATGAAGGAGGGTATTGGGATCCACCATTTCTTTTGAAGGCGTCAAGGGTTTGAACAAGGCATTGTCCAGTGGAACAACCCCTTTATTCTGCATAAAAACATAGTAAGGGTAAAGATTCATCATCAATGGCGACCCAGATTTGGAAAGAAACTGAAGCAGAGGAAGGATATAGGAAACTAGGGTTTGATTGAAGAAGGCCTGAGACGGAGGGAAAGGGTCGAGAATGATAGAAGCCGCATGAGGGGTTGAAATCTTAATCTGGTCATGGAGATTCGAAGCAACAAGAGCATTGTAAAGCGACTGAATTGCAGGAAGAATAAGTGGAGCTGAAGATGGAATTGAGGTCAAAACCTCATCGCCGACGGCAATTCCGGTGATGAGAGTTTCCGGGTAGTAAGCAACGACGTTTCGGTTGATCCAGGAAGCGGCTGTGGAGTTGGAAGACCCGATTGCAAGGAGCTGGTTGTTGGGTACTCCGACTACGACCCGAATGCTGGTTCGGGCCAAGGCTTTGATGATGTCCTGGTTCGCATCGTAGAGACGAACATGAGTTATCTTTTGAAGCTTAAGAAACTCAACCAAGTCCGACGGTGAAAGCAGATTCGAAACGTCCGTGCCGATATTCACACCCACGAAAGGCTGCGTGTCTTCCTTTTGCTCTGCATTGGAAGATTCAGCTGCAAAACCCATAAAAGTGGTTAGAGCAAAAGTTAATTGAAAAAGGCACAACGTGATCGGGGAGTGATTATCACCTAGCGATGAAATGAGAAGTTCGGGAAAAAGGTAGAAGAGCAAGAAGATGCCAAGCAGAAGGTTAAGCCTAGAGTTGGCCATTGAGCAAGAGCTTGAAGTTCGCTTCCTCATCCTCTAGAGCTTCTGGTTGTTCAGCTATAGATCCTTGCATTATCTTTCTGAAGAGCTCTGTGCTTGGATTAACGGAAAAGAACAAAATGATCAAAATAATATAAATATTTAGCGGTCAGTACATAGTTGTGTTGCAGAACAATCTTGAATGGTAGAAGGAAGAAAAGAAGGCGATGGCAGCCGCTAATGGGAGCGTTTTGGGAGTTGAGGGCAATGTGCAATTTTGTGCTTAGTGGTTCAATAATTTTTCAAGTGGTGAAATGTCTAAAGTAACCTTGCGGACGAAAAAAGAACTGTAATGTTCCCGCCTCCAGTGAAAAACGCTCCATCATTAATAATTTTTTTCCTCATGAGATTTTTTTTAATATTATATTTTCGACAGATCCAAACAGAGTTACTACTTGCCGGTTGGCAAAATATATATATATATATATACTGTACTATATTTTATTTTCCTTCAACCTTTACTTACAATTACAGGTCATTTTTTATTAGAAAATTATTTTTAATATATTTTATCAAAATTAATAAAAATTTTAAAATTTATTAATTCTATTTAATAAGTTTATAATATTTTTATAATTGAATTTTAAATTTTACTCTCAATAGTAGAGATAAAAAAATTATAATAATAATTTAATGACATAACTTATAAATATAATTAAAAAATATTTATAATAGAGATAAAAGAAAAAAAATTATAATAAAAATTTAATGATGTAACTTATAAATAAAACTAAGAAATATTTAATTAAAAAATAGTCAGCCCCAAAAAGATAGATTAATGATAGATAGGTAACTAACAAAATTTTTTAAAAAATAAATTATAAATATTAATTTAAATAGTTACAAATAAAATTTTTTATTATAATTTAATAATTATTTTCAATATTTAAATACGTATTTATAATTGAAACTTTTGAATTTACCATTATTTGAAATCAAGATAAAAAATTTTAAAATAAAGAAAAAAATGGTCATCATGGTTCATGCAAGACATTCATGCTATAGAACTAAAAATAAGAGACTAGAAGGGTAATCCTGTAATTTAACATTTGTAAGAGGAGTCAGGAATGATAAATACTATTTATGCCACTACAAAATAAAAATATATGATATTTTAATTTTAAATCCTCATAAATTACTAGTACAATAATTGTAAAAAGCTTCGAACCTCTGTTTCACCAAAAAAAAAAAAAAACAAAAAAACAAATGCTTCGAATCTTTGATATGGTTCTATTATTTTATGTTTTGCAGCGATACAGCGGGACATATCCAAATTTCCAAAAAACGTTGACTCTACTAATAGAGTTGGATTTAGTTAAAAAAAAAAAAAGCCTTTCACAAAGTAAGGGATCAATATTCGAACTAAGAGATGTGTTAACATTTAATGCACACTTTATTTCAATTAAGATTATGTCCAGTTGAAGAATACCAACAGGCAATAAAGAAAAAAGAGGTTACCTGTTTTTCTTTAATCACTTGTTTGAAACTCCATTTGAACTCGGGTAAAAAAAATCCATTTTAAAAGTAATATTAAAAAAATACTCAATAAATGTCGGTCCAATTTAATTATAAAAAATTCAAAGTATAATAACATTTAAAAATTCACTGTGCAAGAAAAGGTCTAGTAGATATATTGTACATCTTGTCTATGGCTAGAAAGAATACATTACACTATTTAATTTTATTTATAAAACATCTTTTAAAATTAATTTTTATCAAAAATATAGAACACTTTATAATAATTAAATTATTTTTTAATTTTATTCTTTTTTAATTAGTGTGAGAGTATTTAATATAGTTGTAATATTATTTAAAATTAAAGATAAAAATAAAAATATATCTCACTTTTTTATTATATAAAAAACTCATTTTTTTAAATACATATAATAATTAAAAGTGTTCTGTAATAAAATTGGAGGGAGTAAATCTTGTTGTAATAAAACTGGAGGGAGTAAATCTTGTCCACCAACCAATTTTTCTAACAGTATTTTAAGGAAACAATATTTACGAAATGGGCACACTAAATAGATTCTGTTTCTTAACTTGATCATGAACATTTAATCAACTTATGATTACAATAATGACAAACTTTCTTTCACTGGAAATCACATCTCACGTGTCGTTTGTCTTTTCTTAAAAATTGAAGCATAATACGATATGTGAGTAGTTATAATGATCCCTTCATCTTAAATTATAAAATATTTTTAAATAAAATTTTACACATCAATAAACTTCATTTAATATATTTAATAAATTTATTTTTTTAAAATAAAAATATAAATTTTTAAAAATATTTTTTATTTAATATATTGAAAAAAAAGTAATAAAAATTAATTATAAAAAGAAAAAGATAATATTAAAATTAACGCATTTAATGAAACTTTAATATATTCAAAATGTCTTATATTTTGAGATAGAGAATTTTTTTAAAAATACCCTATAATTTAAGACGGAGGAAGTATTATCTCTTATCCTAAATATGGAAAGCATTTAACAATAATTTGTATGTTAATAAATCTTTATTCTCAAAAATATATATTACTTTTTGTTCATTCTTATTTAAATTTATGGTGATTGAAAAGAAAGTTATAAATCCATAAAGACAAGAATAATTATATTTTGGATCGAAGGGAATAAGTGAATAACTACTTCCAATGTGTTAAAAATAAATAAATAAGTATGGTTCCACGAGCGTAAAAGTAGTAAATTACGTTTTACTAGAGAATATCGTATCAACCCGGTGGAAGAAACTTGACTTTTTTACATGCCCAATAGATTATATTACTCTGTAAAGTCAACGGCCTCAAATGCAATTGTTTTTAAATGTGAGAAGACTAAATTACTCACATACCTCATTTGGTACATAAAAATAGTTTTAATAAAAGTAAAAATAAAAATAAAATTTAAAGCTATGTTTAGTATGTAGGTGTAAGTAAAATAAAAATTTAATTTAATAAATGTATTTTTGTTTTTCAAAGACTCAAATACCCATAAATTTATTTTAGAAAAAAAGTCTCCATCATCTTCATCTCATCGAACCTTTTCCCATAACCAATCTGAAAAAGACCTGGGAAGGAAAATGCTTGGGAGAGAGAAAGGCTTGGCTTTGATGGTGAAGTTTGGAAGAGGACATATGGGCTTGGGGATTGTGGATGGAGGCTAGGTAATGAAGGAAGGGACTTTGAGCATTGAATCAGAGCTTGAGAAAGTATCCATGGAGAGTGAGAAAAAGAAAATGTTGGGGGAGAAGAAATTAAGAGTACTTGAGGGGATAAGATTTCGGCCACAAAGTTTGATGTCAGGGGGTTTACTTACAGCAACCATTTCTATGAATCAAATTTTTTTCTCTCTGTTTAACGTGAAATTCATGATGGAGAAGCAAGCCATTTTTGAAATATATCTGATTTAAAATATAAATATTTTTATTCATGGTCATCGTCGCACCCAGAAAATGAGGAGGTGATTGATCTGGTTTTTACATTGTCCCAAGGTGGGAGATAACATCCATCAAGCAAAAGGAAGGAAGATTGATGGTTGAGGCTCGTCTGTATGTTGAAGGAATGAAGGACAAAAATGTCTAAAATTTCATAAATGGCACAACAGCCATTTTACTCTCGGTTCCATGAGAGTTTAGCCAGTTTCACTGTCACCCCCAGTGAAACCCAATTCCATCTGAAGTCACTTCCATAAGGATGTCTGTTCCATTCTGTCAAAACACCAAAATTTCAGTTCTACTTCTACCCTTCCTTCTTTCCGCCATTAATGAGTGAGAATATATACATTTAAAAGAAATTAACATTAGAAGGTTAATAAAAAAAAAAAAAAGTTCACTTATTTATATTAAGGAGTTCATTTCACATGAATCCATTGACAATTACTCCTTTTATTTTATATATAAAAAAAAATTGTATCATACAGTTTAAAAAAGTCGATTAACTATAATAATTATATTTAAAAATAAAAAAAACTAAAATATCTTATGTTAATCAACACAACCATATATTAATTATTTCTCAATAATGTAAATTATAAAAAATAATTTAAAAAATATGTAATAAATGCTTACTAAAATGAGTGATTTTGCTTATAAAAAAATATAAGTTAAAAGTAATAATTTGTCTGGCAATAAAAAATAGGAGTATATTGAAGAAAATTTACAAATTAACCAAATAAAAATGACAATAAAAGATTTACAAATAATAAGAAAAGTCCAATTATTTACAACAAGAAATATGTGAATTCACAAGAGCTTATGTGGTTCGTACTTGAGAAAATTTATAAGCTAACCAAATAAAATTAATAACAAAAGATCTGCAAACAAAAAAAAAAAGCATAGTTATTTATAGCAAAAAGTTCATTTATTCATAATAAAAGTCCATGTTTGTTTACACTTGTACTTAAGAAAATGGAAAAATTTTAGTGAAGATCTCTTGATCAAAATAAATTTCAGTCAAAGCATTTAAAATTTTGAAATTTTACTGCACATGTAAGGGATTAAAATAAAATTAAAGAGCTAATTAAAATAATCTTATTATCTATAGTAAAGCTAGGTGCATGAACAATTTATGTAAGAAAATTAATAAGTAATATATAGAAAATGAATAACTGATATAAGTAAAATTTATAACTCTCATTAATAATATAACATTATTATGAATTTGTATTTCTAATTTCACATATGTTGGTTGTTCATTTTTATATATTAGTTGTTATTTTTTCCATATAAGTTATTCATGCATTCAATTTCACTTGTTTATATTTATAGTGATGTTATACTGTTAATAAGAGTGTAAATTTCACCTATGTCAATTATTCATTTTTCATATGTTAATTGTTAGTTTCCCTACATAAATTGTATATGTGCCTAACTTTGTCAAAAACAATAAAGTCATTTTAATTAGTTTTTTAATTTTATTTCAATTCCCTATATAATACATGTGCAGTAAAATTTCAAAGTTTTAAAGGAAAAATTATATCTAGATTTCACCAAAAAAAATTGTGTTATTAATGGCTTTAATTTAATTATTAATAGACTAAGTAGTAATTAATTTTTTATATAAGACTTTAATATAATTGTCCCAATTTTAAAGGCTTTTATAGAAATTAAATTTGATCAACGGGTCCTAAAAAATTACAAATTAACCCGAAGAGTGGAGGTTCATAAATTAACACGGTTTTTTGGAACAGCGTGCCACTTTTATCCCTTGGATTGTCCAAATAGAGAAAGAGAACACCCACGAGTTAATTAAATATTGTATTTAAAAAAAAATTCTTAAAGCCAGGCAAGTCTTAAAGACTCAAAAAAGCATTTGCAAATTAATATTCTTCAATAAGGTCATCATGTTTTGAGCCAAAAAATAATAATAATAAGGTCGTCATGTTAACAGCAAAATTCAAAGAAAATTGATACAAAAATCTGCTTAAATAAGCAGATGATAGAAAGGGATTGTGAATTGGAGTAATTATTTTGAAATTTAATTATTCTGAAATTCTCAAGTCTTTTTCTGCCATAATTTTTTAAAATTGACATATTATCCATATTTTAAAAAAATCATACCAGTATCATTAGCAATTGTCGGATTTTTTTTTTTAATGCGAGAACTATGGTCATTTTCATAAGATTATGTCAAAAAGACTCATGGACTATAAATTAAATACTTTAATAACAGTCTTTCTTTTTTCTTTTTAATAATTTTGAGAGACTGAAGGGTCCTGTTCCCAAATTCAAATCTAGGCTTTTAGGAGATGTAAATTGTATCGTTATCAATTATTTCTCCGTTTAAAAATATAAGATATTTTTTGATAAATTAGATGTTCAAAAATATAAATATTTTTAATCTTTTGAGGTGTAATCTTGTCTTTTTTATAAAAATGTCTATATTGATAATGATTTTATATTTACTGTAAGGTGTTTAATAGAAATAAATATAAAAAAATAAATTAGCTTAAAAATAGGTAATTACTTTATTAGAGATTCGATTAAAAATGTCTTATATTTTTAAATGAAAGGAATGAAAAAAAAAAATACGAGGAATAGATGAATTAAGTGTAACTGAATTAGCCAACATTAAAAATTTCACGTCGGACGATACAGCTGAATATTGTGGTACTGGTACGCTCATTGTTCGGGTGATTATCATATGTAAAGGCGTAATAATCATAGCAACAAATCTAATCTAATGCTTTCTTTACATCCACTTAAAACGAAACTTTCGGCCGTTCCCACTTTCCAATGATGGTGACCATCGGATCAATTACCAGTTTGAACCTTTTGTTTACAATAATTGATAGTAAAACAACAACAAATTTTAATCATTGTGTTTGCTTAGAGCCCTCAACAAGATATACCCTCCGTCTTTATTTGCAGGAGAAAAGAAAATTATACTACACAGTTTAAAAAAATTAATTAATTACATCAATTATATTTTAAAATAAAAAAATTGGACTATAATACCCTCTATTAATTGTGTTGACCAAATTTTCATTAATTATTTTTTATAATTATGAATGTTAAAATTATGAGAGGTAATTTAAAAAATTTATAATATATGCTTATTGAAAAATATAATTTTACTTATATAAAAAACAAACTGAAAATTATAGTTTTTACAATAAATAAAAATGGAGGGAGTACTCCCCTTCAAATCAAAATCATCAATGGATCATCATTATAAACAATATAATCAATACAAATAACCTTTTTTCATATTTATAATTTTTTTATTTTAAATACTACTATAACTATAACTATAATTATATAAAAATTAGGGAGAATAACAAAGAGGTCTAAAAAGACTAATTGATTCACCCTAAGTTCTCAGTGTCAAATTTTAAAAATTTATAAATTCGACCCTCAAATTTGCAACTTCATTGCAATAAATTTACAACTTGTGTTCCAAATTTTAAATGAAAATTTAAGTTTGTTTATTTTTCAACCATATTAAAACTTGAAAAATAAATTACAAATTTATTACAATAAAATTATAAAATTGAAAGCCAAACTTATAAATTTTTAAAATCTGACACTTAAAACTTAAGTTAAATTAATCAGTTTTGTTGGAACGTCTTTATCATTCTCCCTAAAAATTATTCATGCATTTCCTATGACACCGGTAAACATTAAGGGCCGTTGTTGAACAAAATGTAAATGAAATAAAATAAAGAAATAAAGATAAAAGTAAAATAATTAAAATATGGCAAAAAAAATAGATTAACATATTCATAAAGAAAAAGATAATTTAATTCATGAAATTATAAATCATGATTCTCATTTTTGTGATATTGGAATTTCATCATACTTACTAGACGAGGAGGGTACTTTAATTCATTTAAATCTTTTTTTATTCCATTACATTCACATTCTTTCTAGTAAGAAATGGCCCAAGCAAATCATTTGAAGTTGTTGGAGATGATCTACTTCTCCAACACAAGTTTATCAATCCATCTCCATGTGGATTTAATTTTTCAAGAGTCAGCCACGCGGGGTTAAGTTTAAAGAAGAATCAACTTGTCAGGACATCATTTGGCAATCTGATATCTTAGAAAAACATCCAAACTGTACAGCGAACGCAAGTAAAATCATGCAATCATTCATGAGAATATAGCCCTATAAAAGGTAAGTGTAGGATTTTATACTGACAAAGAGAAACTTCCAATCCAACACTAGCCTACTTACAGAACGACCACTAGAGTCAAACTTGAAGGAAGATCAACCACTCCTCCTTGGTTCTAGGCTTCTAGCATTTCTTGTTGCAGGAAAGCTTCAGTCAAAAATGAATTCCCAAAACTGTTTCTTGGTGCTTGTCACCGGAGGGCATTGACAAATGCCACCAACGAATCAACGTCTCTGTTTTCAGATGGATACTTTATTGGGTGAGTTGAATGCTTTGGGAAAAACAGTATTGTGGGGAAGCTTCCTAGCTGCAATTCACTCTTTGCATATTCTTTCTGCTCTCCATCAGCTCTGAATTTCCCAACCTTCACTCCTGATCCTGCCAACTTCTCTGCTAACTCAACATATGACTCTTCCATTCCCTGTTTCATGTCAGCATAAAACATCTCATTAGATACAGTTACACAACAAAAACACTTGTCTTCAGACAGGTAACATGATAACAAGTTCATGTCTGTGCCACCGGCACATACAAGGGCAAAACATTGTTTACCTGGCAGAAGCGGCACCATGGCGCATAGAGAACGACAATCCAGGGTTCCTGTCGGTTCTCCAACTTTGCCAAGTTCTCGATTCCATTCCTAGTCAAGCCCACCACATTCTGGGTGTTGAAGATGTCTGCAACTTCTGCATCGTCATTTCCTTGGGCGACGCCATTTCCGTTCCCATCTGCATCTTCTTGCTTGAGATTTCCTTTGTGAAGACCACATTCCTTGGCTTTGGCATCCTCCCACCACCACCTTCCTTCCCTTTCATGTTGTCCTGGTAAAACCGGCCTTGTGCATGGCTCACAGCCAATAGAAATGTACCCTTGTGAATGTAATGAGTTAACAGGCACATTCATGGTCCTAAGGAAGTTCCAAATATCATGGCCTTTCACGTTTGCCACCGGGTTCCACTTCACTAGACTGCCAATTCCACCATCCAATCCTTCAAAAACTGGATCAACCTGAGCAACAGGTACTTCGGACCTCGTTCCTGGAGATTGGTCTTTCCTTTGTCCAGTGATCCATGCCCTGAGACCTTTCAGGGCCCTTCTTAAGGGCCTAACCTTCCTCACCCGGCAGCATTCTTGGTGACCGTCCTCGTAGAATGAGAAGAGCCCTTTGTTTCTTACTAATGCCTGAACCTCAATGGCATCAGGGAACATGTACTCAATTCGGATTCCATAGTGCTTCTCAACAGTGTCAAAAAATCTGTAAGTTTCTGGGTTCAATCTTCCAGTGTCCAAACTGAACACTCTAAAGGGACGACCAGTCAAATGTGCATACTCAATCAAAGCTACGTCTTCAGCACCACTGCAAAGGCAAATTTAATCATAAAAATTCAGATATATGGCCAGCAAAACATGTGGCAAATGTCAATGATTAGATACTTCCCCAAAACTAATAATGTGTTTTCGATCCACAGTCTAAACTTCAGCACAAAATATGTGAGCCTATAATGAGTTCAAAGGAGTTCTTGCATAACCCATGTTATAGATTACAGTCAGATGCATTTTATGTGCATTGCAGAAAATTTACATGGAAATTTGAGGCACTATTCATAACCACTTAACCTTTCGAGTTGAAATAATCCTTTGAAACGCAAAGCCATGCATTTAAACAAACAAAACAATGCTTTAAGACAACTCGCAGGCTACAGAGTTCAGATTATAAGCTTCAAACTAAAAACATATGCAGCACATTCGTTTGGGAACAAGGCTCAACAACCAATACGATGAAGCTCCTCTCACAGAAATAGCACTAACAAGATTCTTAAAGAACAAGGACAATCTTAATGAAAAATACTATTAGATGTATGGTAGTCCACGTCGAGTGATTAGAGAATTAATCACATGAGGTGAGTCCATCCAAAATAGCTTAAGCTATTTTAATGGAAGTCAAACGCCTTAGTGTGTGATTAAAGCAAAATTTCTAATCGCTCCATGTGGGACTATCAAACGTGTAATAGGCACACGTAGGATTATCATACATCTAATAGGCACGAGAGTTTCTACCTCAAGAGAGGGATTGCTTCAAAAGGGATCATCATTAATATGCTATAATAGCCACTTGATGATTTCTAATACCAACCTGAAGGCAATAGCAATGTCGTTGCCGAATTTCTCCAGAGCTTTATCAATTATTTCAAGAGGGGAAGCATTATCAAGATCTCGAGCCAATTTCTCAAGATCATCCTCTTCTTTCTTAACAACCTCTGCAAAATCAGAAGAATCGCCCACAGAACATCACAACCTCGTTTAAATGTGATCCAATTAATGGGAAAACAAACGACAAACTCGAAAAGATAAATTCAAAAAATTATGCATACCAGGAGCAACGATGCTTGCTGCAAGAGGAACAACTGAATCCTTCCGTCGAGGTTCAGCGCTTACGGAATTCACCGAGCACCGTCTCTGAGACAAACTCACAGTTCGGGAGGAAACGTGAGATTTCTCGAAAACTCGAAACAAACCAATCGACGGAGCTGAAATTAGAAAACACGATTAATCACCAGCATTAACTGAACACATGAATTAAATTCGAGTCATAATATTAAACCGATCCAGAATATTTTCTTAACAGCCAAACAATCCAAACGTACCTTTAGGCTCAGCTGAGGAAGCCAAACGAGAAAAACCAGAACTCGAAATCGAAGTTGAAGAAGAAGAGGAAACAGAAAGCGCCATTTGACAAATCAAAATAAGAAAGGTTTCAAAATTTGGGTTGCGTGAGATCTGTTGTCGGCTGGATGTTTTTGTGTCTGCCACGAGAAAAGAAAATGCAAATCATATATAGGAGAGGCGGCCTTTCAGGGAAAAGAACCTGGACGTGATTTGAGGAAGGAGGGTGAAGCTTACGTGGCGAGTGATGATTGGAATATGATAACTCGTGGCGGAAGGCTTGCGTACGTGCTTTTTATTTTAAGCAAGGGACGACCGGACGAGGATGTCTTCAAGAATCACGAAGGAATCTTCCAGTTTATGATTTCTTCTTGTATTTTTTTTTAAAAAATATATATATATATATTATTTACTCTGATTGCACATAATGCATTTTAGAGGCTTTTACATGTATAATTCATTTTATAGAATCAAAGTGAATAAATAACTTAACATTTGTTATACTTTTTATTATGACAATTTTAATATTTAATTGACTTTTATATGATAAAATTATCTTTTTACAAATAATATGACCTTTTTTTAAATTTTTTTAATGAAAATCTTTTTTCAAATACTTGAAAATAGAAGAGTGCTTCATTTGACCCTCTTTCAATAAAAAATTGATGAGATTAAGCTTTCTCATATCTACAAAATTAAATGGTATTAATAAGTTTTTATTGATATGATTTATCACTTGTATATCAAAAACACAAAAAAAAATTATTTGTTTAAAGTAGATCAAACACAATCAATAAAAAATTATAAATATCTTAGTTTATCTTAGAGAATCAAATATTCATCTACAATAAAAGTTTTGAGATTACATTCATCTTCATACGAGGAAGCCTAATAATGAGACTCATTTGCAGAGGCACAAAATTAAATTACTTATATGAGACGTTTCTTGTAAAAGAGTACACTTGTTAGAACAATAAAAAAATAATCTATGAATATTACCTTGATTCCTCAACCTATTAAAAAAGGGAAAGAATGATTATGAAGGGGGGATAAATATGACGGACGTGTGTGCAAGAATTTAATTCAATTAGTTAAAGGTTAAAATCATTTAATTAATTACTCCCTTCGTTTAAAAATGTAAGACATTTTTAACCGAATATCACTTTCAATAAAGTAGTTACTTACTTTTAAACTAACCCTATCTTTTTATATTTATTCTTATTGAATGTCCTATAATAAATATAAAGTCATTCATCAATAGGGCACTTTAAAAAAAGACAGTGATTACACATTAAAAAATTAAAAATACCTTATATTTTTAAATGGAGGGAGTATAAGAGATAAATTTGTGAACCAGTCTATGCAAAGTGTTTAAATAGTATATTCGTTCTATGAATAAAAAAATTACCTCTAATTAATTTTGTAAATAAGTATATTTTAAAATATTCAAAAACCTCATCTATAATTTATGAAAATTATATTTTTTGTAGCCACTAGGCCAATTTACTCATGTATTTATATGTAGTAGTAACTATATTTGTCAAACTCTTCAATTGACTCTTTATATTTAACATTTTTAATTTATAAAATTGCGTCAACTCTCTTAAAAACTCAAACTAAATATAAACTTAGTTAAAATCGTGAGTTTACTTTTAAATTTATCATTTTTATCTTTCTAGTTAACAAAATCGTGTCAACTAATTTATAAATTTAGATTAGATAAAAACTTGGTTAAACTTATTAAACTCATCAATTTTTTATCGAGCTGATAAAGTTAAATATATACTATGTAGAATTTGATTTATTAAAGTAATAGGACTTGGTTCAAAGAGAAAAAAACTTAAAAAGTAAAAACTAAAATTAATAAAAAAATAGTAAAAATAAGTTATCATATTCTAAAATTTTTATGTTTTATATGATAATATATCAAAATAGATAAATTTAATTTTAATTATTTATATTTAAATTAAATCATGATCATATTTTATATTTTTATTATTTAATCATATATTTTTAATAAATATTTATCAATAAAGATAAATTTTTGTTGAGTTTATGATCTAAATTTGTAATTTAAATTTATATTTTTATTATAAATTTATTTAAATTTGAGAGTTTGACAGCTCGATATAAACGAATTAATCCGCCTTTAAAAATTCCTTTTAGATAATAGCGGATATATTAAAAGAAAAGAAAACGAAACAAGAAAAAAGAATGCGAATTCAACGCCTACAAGGAGAGTAACAATAAAATGTAATCTTTTTTTAAATATAATAAAAGTTTAGATTTTTGGTACAATAATATTATTCTTTAACTTTTTTGTAAGAAATCAATACATTAATATTTTTATGTATTTCCTCTACTAAAAAATATAAGATATTTTTAAGAGATTTGATATTTAAAAATGTGAAACATTTTTAATTTTTTAAGGTATAATCATTATCTTTTTTTTAAAGTACCCTCATTGAATAAATTATTTATATTTATTTTAGATAAAACACTCTATTAAATTAGAGTAAATATGAAAAAGTATGATTAATTTAAAGACAATTAACTACTTTATTAAAGAATAAAATTTGATTAAAAATATCTTACATTTTTTAATGAAATGAGTATTATAAAATTAATATATCAATCAATATGTAGTTACATATGGTTGTCAAACTCATTAATTTAAATAAACTCATAGCAGAAATATAAACTCAAATAGTAAAGTTGGATCTTAAACTCATAAGAGTTTACTTTTAATTAATAAATAACCATAAAAAATATATAATTAAATAATTAAAATATAAATATATGATCATAATTTAATTTAAATATATTTTAAATATAAGTTATTGAAATTAATCTACTTATATTGATAAATTATTATGTTAAACATAAAAATTTTAAAATAAGACAACTTATTTTTGTTGTTTTCTTTTTTATTAATATTAATTTTTACTTTTTGAGTTTTATTTTCTTTTAATTGTGTCTTATTATTTCTATGAAATGAGTTCTATACATTATATATCTAATTTTCTCAACTCAATTAAAAACTGACAAGTTTAGCAAATTTAACCAATTATATTTAGTTTAGGTTTATAAATAAGTTAACATGATTTTATAAATTAGAAACATAAAAATTATAAACTCTTTAATGTTAATTTAATTGAGTTTTATTTAGTTTAAATTTATGAACGAGTTACATAATTTTATAAATTAAAAATATAAAAAAAATAAATTTAAAAAGTTAATTTGAGAGTTTAAAATTATGGCTACATATACATGAACACATGGACGAAGCCAGGGACCATCATATGGAGAGCTAAAACTGAAATTTTGTTTAAATGTGGGTTTCTAACAATGATTTCTACAATTTTCATAAACAAAATTATATTTATTTTTAACAAATTTTGGAGTATGTGGGGCACAGCCCCGCTGGCCCTTTTAAATTTGTCGTTGTTTAATTCTTTTGGCAATTGAAAACCATTGTTGCTCCTTTGATTGTCAATGCCGTTAATAAATTTTATTCTCCCACTTATATAAAAGTCATCTTCTAGGAAAAAAAAAAGTATTTTTTACAAGTATTTTGCATTAAAACTGAGACATTAATTATTTTCTTACAAGTTTATTCTTTTACAAGTTGACAAGAGAGTGTGTGTGAGAGAGTTGTGTATTTTAAAAAATGATATATTTAATAAAAATAAAACAAAATAATTTATTTCTTTTTAAGCAGTATCAATGATATATTTTTTTCATCTGGATAAATTAAATATACAAATACAAGTAGCTTATATATAGAATGAAAGGTTGTACGCTATTTTCATTTTCTTAACTCCTTAAAAATTCTCGTCACGTTTTCCCTACCAATAAACGATACGGTCACTATTTTTATTATTATATTCTTGTAAATCATCATAAATTAAAAGTGTCCATATATAATATAAAAAATTTAACAGCTTATCATGATATCAACAATCTAACTTGTGATTCAGATTTTATATAATATAGGGTCATATGATAATTCAATGAAACTACACACAGTAGTTATGCCTGCATGAGTTGAAGGAATTTGCTACTTATATGATGACTATTATTAATTAAACTTGACAATATTTTAATATAGTTTCGTAATACTGGATATTAAATAATTATGTCAACAAAGTTTTAAAAAAATATATTTTGCCTTTGATTCCTAAAATCATAGTTGACTTTGGTCAAAATTTTTATAAGTTTATTATTATCAAGGTATCAATTATTAGAACTATAGTAATTTTGGTCGGGACTTTGGAGATTGACATGTTACTAATATGACCATGACATGTCATTGATATGACAACAATGTTTGATATAATAAGGAATCAAAAGGGTTTTTTTACCAATATAATGCAAACAGTAAAAATTTTATCAAAATGCTGCATCATGAAAAATATTTATCCAAATGTGACATCGAAAATCATTCATATTGAGAATGAGTTTATGGGTATGAAGAAATCGTTCAAGCCAATAATGATTTTATAATTAAAAATTATTTTTTTAATCAATGAAAAGTGAAATTATTTACTAGGTGAACAATTTTAGTTTTTTTATTATTGTGACATTCTATTCACTATTAACTGTGAGAATATCTGCTTTTCCTTCTAACTTTGCTTTTCCTGCATAATTCATTTAAGTACGAGATAGATGGTCACTTACTATTATTAGTGCTCCTCTGACAATCGAAGAGTTTGATAAAACATCCAAGTACCTGTAATGGTATTAAAGATATACCTAACAATGGATCTAATGTTCAGCAGTGATATTGGATATGCGGTGATCACTAGTACCATCGAGTAGGAGTAGGTGAGTTGAAAAGTGACAATGATGAGGGTAATACGTAATGAGGCTCAAATTGAATAGGATTGAAAGGGGGTGATAATAATGATATGCTAACGTGTAATGAAATTGACTAAAATTTTTAAAACTCTTGTTTTCCTACGTTTTCATTTTCAATTAGTGGTTAGATAGATAAATAGCTATCACATCGCTTGCTCAGTCTATCTCAATGAATTTATAGATGAGGCAACTCAATTTTTGGTAGAACATGCTAAGGGTTCTTGTTAAATTATTGTTCTTTCATTACAAGTAAGATGTTACATTAGTCATG